TGCCTGAGGAAGGAGTCAAGTCAGTCAGGACCAAGAACCAAAATAAGTAACAGCTCCTGAGCTGTTCTGGAGATTGAGCTGCACAAGCGTTTGTTTGAGTTTGGCAACACGCTAGACTTTCCCTTTCACAAACACTCCTCCAGAGCCAGTCCCAGCCAGAGGCCCAGCGCCCAGAGCCTCAGGAGGGTTGGCAAAGTCTAGGTACATGCATGTTCGCATACTTTTCTCCTGTTTTTTTTTTCCTTTCAGAAACATCTGCGTTTTGTTTTTTCCCCTTTCAAATGTTTCCCAACACATCATGTTTAGTGAGGTGTTTAAGACAGACTGAGAGATGCTGTTGGAGGCAATGTTTTATAGCACAGTTTGTACACTAGTTTATTGCCAAATTAAAATAAAGATGGAATCTGGCAGACTTCAGCCTGCTGCTAAGTCTTTCTTGGGTGGTTTCTTGTATCGAGGCAAAGAAGTGGGAGAAACTCTCAATGAAGTGAGGAATACTATCTCCAGCCTCCTACCTGCTCAGGTTTTGAGTGGTAAGGAACAAAAGAATAAGCGGGATGGTAGCTGGGTCTATGGCTTCATTACAGAAACAGAAAGGAAAGCAGCAAGAGCAGGATGTCGGTGTTCGTACAGCAAAGTCATGGCATTCTTCCTAGTGCCCTTGGTTAATTCATTAGCTCTGTTCTGTGCAAGCTCACTGTGACTTTTTGTCACTGCAATCCCTTTGCCCATCTGCCATGAATTTTTCATAATATCTGAAACACTTATTTTTATTTTGATCAGAAATTTCACAAGCCGGAGTTATATTGCAGGGGGTAAGGCATTTCATTTTTATGTAGGAGACCCAGGTGCCATCCGTGGAACCCCATAGAGTTTCCCGAGACCACCAGCAGTGATCTTTGAGCTCTGAGCCAGAAGAAAACCCTGAGCATCACTTGGTGTGGACCAACCTCCACCCCCCCAAAAAGGAAATTCCATTCTACAGTTATAACCAGACTTTCAGTACTTCAAAAGGGGATAGGTAATTCCAGAGTCATCTGGAGTCCGGAAGGTCCACTCAAGAAAGCTTTCTCGTCTGTTTCCTTTATTTTGGAGCCACAGCTTGGTGGCTGCTTAAGGACTTCCTTGAATTAGAGTGTGGGGATTGCTTCTGAAGATACTCTGCGGGCCATGAGGTGTTAGGAATTGAATCCAGGCTGCACTCAGCCTGTTGAATGATCTCTCTTGCCAATTCAAGGATGTTTTTAACTTCCTGGCAAATACCTCCATATTGAACATCAAACATATAATTCTCCCTCTAATATCTAAGACATCAAAACATCCTGTTTTTCAGATTCTGAGGGCATTTAATCATACACATTTCTTCCTGGTTAAAAGCTTTAAAAAATTAAAATATGTTTTTTTACAGAATGGATGATGGTCAGTAAAATTATCTGCTTATCAAAAGGACAATCTGCTTAACAAAACCTTTGTAATACCCTAAATGTTCACACCAAAACACTACTACAGTGGGTTCAGACTTTTACTTCAGATAAAATGCAGTCAGAGCAAAACGCTGCAGCCCAGAAGGACTCTGTCCAACAAGTCAGCGATGTAGACTAAGGGCCCTAAGGACCTCATTCACTGAAGGAGAGAAAAAGCCATCTCAGGGAAATGCGAAAAATGAAGGAAGATGCTATGCATTCAACAGAAAGTCTGACACATAAGCCTGAAAAGTGAAAGTACAGCAGACAAGGAAAGAGAAGGACTTGGTGTGTGGGAGAGTACTGAGTGCTGCCTCTTGAACAAGCCACTTTGTAAGAGGCAGCATATTCTGCCTGAGGATTCTGCTCACCAGACGTTTGAGCAAATGAGCATCCCAAAGAGTATGCTTGATACTAAGGCAAAGATCTTCCCTGGAAATCCTACAACAGCAGCAGCAGCAACAACAGCAGTCATAGCTGTCACCAAAAAAACTGATGAACAATACTTATATAAAAATATAAATTGTCTGCTCTTCCTGGACAAATATAGTCATTCACCCACCAACACCAGCACGGGGCCCTCCTGGGGGATTCACTGCTGCATCTCATCAGTGCTAAGAGCTCCATGAGTTGGAAGCGCTTACCAGCTATTATTTCCATTTGAGTGGCCACAGACTTGCTCCTTATCCATGACTTCAAGCCAACAGCAACATCCAATGACTCACCTGAGAGCTGTAGCCTGCCCCCAGTTCAGCTCATGTACCATTCCTGTCTTTGTGAAGCATGGAATGCCCAGTCCTTTGACCCAACCCCTAGAGCAGACTAAGTGTGCTATCTCTCCATTCTCACATGTCCCAGGGCTTCTCCCCCTTCATTATTTCTAGAAGAAACAGAGATTAAGTAACTGAGGGCTGTTCGGCAGGTCATCTCCAGTTAATCACCAAATTTCACTTTGATGATTAACTGGAGTTAAATTTGGTGATTAACTAAAATTAATCACCAAATTTAACTGTTCCTTAGTCACAAAAGACAATTTTTTTTCTTTTTAGTGTAACCAGGACTATTGTTGTAGCATCCTGACTGCTATTCTTCAGGATTTTGACTTTATAATACTATGATTCAGCTTTTTTGATCAGAGTAAACTTGCTCATCTGCCCCTTCAAACACACTATTTCATAGGCCAAACTTTTCAAGGTTTCCTAATTAGAAACGGACTTATTTGTCTGAATCCAATAGTTAAAACAGAAAAAAAGCCTAAAATAAAAATCAAGATTAATTTCCAAAAGTACATAAAATAAAATTAGTCATACCAAATTTCAGCTTCATCCTGAGGAATTAACTCTAGAAATTAGAGATTGGTTGTTTCTAAATGTATGACACTTCTATTGGATAAAATGTTCCCTCCTGGTTTAAGAAGATATTCATGAGTCAAAGCGCATGTGCATGCTTAAAGCCCTAAGTATGACTCTTAGTCCTAAATGTCCTAACCCCTGGAACCACACAGATGGCCCTGGTAGTCCCCAAGATTTCCATGCGGAGATAGAATCATGTCTGGCATCTCTAGGCGCCAGGATCAAGCCACCAGATTGTATCACCAGGAGTGCTCCCTAAGTCCTAGGCTCAAAGCACAACCTTAGTGATACATAAAATGTGCCCCCAAGTGACAAAGATATAGCAATTTCTTAATAGTTCAGATGAAATGATTTCAGAACCCCCCATCTTCCAAGCTTGTGCTGCAAAGTTCACATAATCTGAGTATCTGCTGTGTATAAATCATGGCATGCCTTTCAAGGCCCTCTTATTTTGGCAAACTCACATGCATTTTCCTCTTCTCCTTAAATGGGTTAAAACCTCTTCCCGTAGTCTTCTATTTCAACTATGGAACATGCAAAGAGTACATAAAGCATGCAGAATGTAATGTTTTCCCCCAAATTTCACTGAGAGTAAATTTACAATTATAATTAGCCACAGAGCATATTTTAATGCAATAGAAAGTCAGCCTTAAGTACTGCCCCCATAAGCAGTCTGAGGTGGGATCACCACCCAGATGTGCTAACTCATCCAAGGTCATTGGCTTAGCTGCAGTGCTCATGGGAGATGTGCTAGGACATGAAGGGCTGCATTTTGAACATTTTTTCCTAGAGATGCCTCGTTTTCATTCAGTCAGGTAAATCTGGCCCTTGATGTGCCTGTGGCATGAGAGGGGAAGTTAGCCAACTGTCAAAACTAAATACAATAACCAGCAGATTAAATGAGTAAAACTCTGTGTCCTGGCCGCTCCATTCTCTCCACTGCTAACTGCACCATCCTGGACCAGATGCACTGTGGCTGGACTCCAGGAATGAAATTGTACATTCTGCTGAAAGGGTAGCCAGGCTGATGAAGAGGAAAAAAATACTAATTGTAAATCTTCTCTATTTTTAGATTTAATGTGAGTTTTCTTTGTCAGTAAGGGCAACATGAATAAAACTCCCATCTTAGGGATTTTAATTTGTTTCCTACAAAAAGCTACTATCAGTGAAGACCTTAGAAAGTGACTTAAAATGTTTTCTTCATACAAGACGAACTGCATGTAGTTACACAGAACCAGACTGATAAAGTCCTAGAATATCTACCACCCTCACATAAGCCCAGCCTATCTTTAAATATATCAGAATTATCAGAATTTATCAGAACTTCTGAATTATGCATTTCCATAAATTCACTTTAACAAAGCATTTCAATATTTTTCCTAGTTTCCTTTTGGCTTTTAGAGACTTTCCCCACATTTCTCCTTGGGTATATTTTCTTTTAATTTACATTTAGTGTTAATGGTTGCTATCAGCTTTATTGATATTCTAATTGATTATCTAAGTTCCTAAAAAAGAAGAGTTTAAAAATTGAATACCATAATTGTATAGAGTATGTGATAAAATATACAGTAAGATATCTATAAGATGCACAGAAAAGTAAATTTACATATAAGTATATACTCATATTCCCATAACAACATAACTTCATGTAATTCTTCCTAAGAAGTGAATTTCCCTTTTAATCTTTACACCAAGAGAAAAGTTCAGAGGTTACCTAAGTACCTCATTTTAGCTATATACTTTATTCATTATTACTCCTTTGGCCATTTCCCTCACTGTTTTTGCAAGTCATTATTTACCAGTTAGCCTTTTCAGAACCTCTTTTCCTTTTAAAGAGTATTAGACAAACCATGCAGCCTTTAACCAGAAAAAAAAATTCTACATAGAAAAAGGACTGTCTAAAATTCCCTGCTGTCAGCGTTTCCTAAGGCCTATAACATCTCGATGAAGACATTGTTCCTCCATAATATCTTCCTTTGTGCCTACTTTTCCCTGTACATGTTGTTTTATATGTTTCAACTTCTCCAGCCAGTAGAGATACTCCTTTCTGGCACGTACCCTCACCTCACTGGCACTGAGCTTGGGTCACTGCAGAGAATAAAATGATCATTGTGACATGATTAACTAGTGTTCCTTTCCCCAGAGAGCCATGCGACACTGTCTCAAATAAGAAAATCATACCCACCTTTTGGTCTTGGCTGTATGCCAGAATCCAGTCCTCTTGCTTTGGGTGAAAAAGCAAGCTCTGAATGTAGAAGTTGAGTCGGTATTTCTGATAGGTCGCCCCTTCATCTGAGCTGATTAGCAAACTGCTCTCAATCTCTGGGTCAGTCAGTAGCATAATCTGTAGCAAGGAATTGTTGGGGGAAAGAAAGTGATAGAAAGTTAAATTCACGAATGCATAGACCTTGAAAACAAGCGAAAATGTACAAAAATAAAGAAACAAGGATTGACAAAGACTGCTTGGCCAAGCTGGGCCCTTGAGTCTATCACATTCATTAATTCACCCTAGAGCAATGTCATGGAATTGTTTTCACTAAAAACATAAAATGGATTATACAGGCTGAAAGGAGATGACTGGAAAGATAGGTGTTCTTTTTCTTCTCTTCTAGATGGTTCCTTACCAACCAGCATGGTTACTTCCTTGATCCAAATTATTACCCACTACCTCTCTAATCTTGACAATTCTTTAGGACTCTCCATTTAGGGAAACTATTTTAGCAAAACTAATCAAGCTCCTTTGTAGGAGAAATAGGAAGAGAAAGAAGATGGATCCATTGCCTTGTCTCTTCTGGCATAAACCCCTTGATCACATCACAATAAACCATGTCATCCTACAGGAGCCCAGCAGATATTGATGTTCTATCAATTTGTGAAAAACAAGTGCATGAATGGAAAGTGTTTTCTGAGCAGTCAGGTTAGAGCTAGAATGATGCTCTGAACAGTCTGAGCAGCAAAGTTGCTCTACTCCATCGTTAGTCTAATGACACAAGAATACGTGATACCTATGTAAAAATCCACAGCTTTGGGTACTTCACAGTCTCTCCTCAGGCTTGTTAATCTCAGGCAGAGAAGTGTGAACAATCCACCTTGGGAATGAGATGGAGGAGCTGCCTGGCAACTGGGTTTTGATTCACTTCTGTGATGCCTCTAGGAATGTGAGATAAACTAGCTTATTCCCCACTCTCTGCAGGTCTCTCTTCACTTAGTCAAAGTTCACCCTTAATGTCTCCAGACATGTGGTCTTCAGACTATCACTAACTTCTCTCCCCCTTCCATGGATTAATTGGAGCTTACTGAGTTTAGACGGGAGACACATGAAGGATGTACTTAATGCGTATGAAGAAAACTTGCTGCAGCCCAGGGGTATCAAGATTACCAGCCGAGGACACAGTTCCAGGAAAAGAAGAGAGTGGCAGGAAACAGAGAGCTATGTCAGGAAAGAGTGGAGCGCATGGCTGGCATGGAACTTTCTCAAGCACTTGGCGGCAATCATATTCAAACCTTGGAATAGTTAGTGTCATCCTCAGAAGTGGCGTCCTGTCACAGCCAAGAGCACCTGAGGAGTGCATTTCTGACACTTTCAGCCTGAACCGTGATGATATTATCCAGGATGGATTTAAGGCTCCTTGCTGTTCTTTATAAACCTCTCCTTCTCAACAAGGAGAAAAGGGAAGTGGAGGAGTGACGGGGAAACTCAGCTGTCAGCTCGCACCAGACGACAGAGAGAACACGCAGAACTGGAGACTAACTGCCTGGTAACCTATGTTTCAGCGAGGCCACCGCCAACCATAAATTCTGACTAAGCTATGTATTTCTTTGTCTCCTGCTGCAAGCAGACAGTATTTCTTAATTGGAAGGCTGACACACAGCCGTCAGGTAATCCTCTAAGTACAAACTCAAGCAGCTTCATTAAAATCTATTGTATGTATTAAGCAAGAGCTGTCAGATGACTTGGAAATTCACAAGAATATCTCCAGGTGGTTTTCTCTTTACTGGCACATATTAAAGCTGTTGTTTTCCCACTAACAAAAATGTCATCAAATGATCACACTGCTTTGTGTCTCCAACTGCAATTAACAATAATCTATAACAACCTTTGTACACTATTGCCGAAGGTAATTTCCATGATGATAGGCAAAGGGTATGATTTTACAGAACATCTATTATCTCAGGCAAGGCACTTCCTCCACCTATTTATTTTTCTATTTCCCTATTAACCAGACTCTGCTCTGCTCTCACCCACTGCTGCTTCTGGCAGATGACTTTGTCAAAATAAAAACAGTGGCCTTCTATGATGCCCCCGAATCCAACTGAGTTTTATTTATCATTTGCTTAAAATATCCTTGGGATCTGTATTGGAAAGTTACAATTCAGGGAGTGCTGGATCAGAGGGTGGATGGACAGCTCTAATAACACAAATGATTTGAAACACAGAGATGCTAAATATTTTATTTATAAAGCTCCTGAATTCCTTGGCTTTTCTTCAGTCTTATTGAACATGTAGATGAGAAACATTCCTTTTCTATTCAGTTCTTATTTGACGATATGTATTTGGGAATGTGACACTTTGGACATGGGGGGAAGATGTCAAAAAACATCTGCCATGGGTCTTATAGGAGGTCTTGTCCATAGTGAATAAACCTCTGTAGCTTCTCACTCAAATTTTGACTGGGATCCATTCAAAACAAATAGATAGACTTAGACACTTTCTGTTTAGTCATTCTTTTATCATATAAACAACTTTGTAACTCCACAAGCAGACTTTAAAAAATATAGAAATGAAGATTTTGCAGGGCCAGAGGAGTACTCCAGAAGTTCAGATTATTACCTGGCATTCAGTAAACCCTGCTCTGATTCCATGTACCCCACATGGAGCCCTTAGCACCACAGAAGTGATCTCTGAGCACCAAATCAGGGGTAAGTTCTGAGCCCAGCTAGCTGTGGTCCAACTTTCTCCCCAAATAAACTGTTCATGACCCTATGTCTTTCACAAGCTAAATTATACTTGTGCTTTTATTTACTTTTATTCACAACTAGACATTATATCACAGATTCATCTTCTTTCTGAATTTTTTTAATATAATATCATGACATATCCATTTTCAGCTAAACCAGAAGCACACAATTTTGTATATACACAGTAATATGATACTGTGAACACCGTATTCTGATTACTTAATTTCTACTTTTAACAACCAGGTTACAATTGGTACAGTGGCTGAACCACAGTAAATACATAATGAATTATTGTTAACTTAGTAAGTGTAATTTTATCCTTTCTGCCTTCAAATTCAAAATGTTTAGTGATTTTATCAACAAAAGAATAAATAAAAATCATATGATCATATCAATAGATGCAGAGAAAACATTTGACAAGATACAGCACCCATTTATGATGAAAACCCTAGCCAAAATCGGGATAGAGGGGACTTTCCTCAATATAGTTAAAGCCATCTGCCACAAGCCTACAGCAAGCATCGTCCTCAATGGCAAAAAACTGAGAGTCTTCCCTCTAAGATCAGGGACGAGACAAGGATGTCCACTCTCTCCACTGCTGTTCAATATAGTACTGGAAGTACTTGCAATAGCGATTAGGCAAGAAAAAGATACTAGGGGCATCCAGGTAGGGAAGGAAGAAATCAAGCTCTCACTATTCGCAGATGATATGATACAATACTTAGAGAATCCTAAAACCTCTACCTAAAAACTTCTAGAAACAATAGGCTTGTATAGTAAAGTTGCAGGCTATAAAATCAATACCCAAAAGTCCATGGCTTTCCTAAATGCAAATAGTGAAAGGGAAGGAAGTGACATAAAGAAAACAATCCCATTTACAATTGTGCCCCAGAAAATCAAGTACCTAGGAATCAGCTTAACTAAGGAAGTAAAGGACCTGTACAAAGAAAACTAAAAAAAGCTACTTCAGGAAATAAAAGATGATACGAGGAAATGGAAAAAATATCCCCTGTTCATGGATCAGAAGAATTAACATTGTCAAAGTGGCAATACTTCCCAAAGTACTGTATAAATTCATTGCAATCCCTATTAGGATACCCATGACATTCTTCGAAGAAGTGGAGCAAACACTCCTGATATTTATATGGAACAATAAACCCCCACGAATAGCTAAAGCAATTCTTGGGAAAAAGAAAATGGGAGGAATCAACCTCCCTAACTTCAAACTCTACTACAAGGCAGTAATAATTAAAACAGCATGGTACTAGAACAAAGGCAGAGCTGTAGACCAATGGAACAGGGTTGAATATACTGACATCTCCCCCCAAGCATACAAGCATCTAATCTTTGATAAGGGGGCAAGAAAAGTGAAGTGGAGCAAGGAAAGCCTCTTTAACAAATTGTGCTTGCAAAACTGGACGGTTACAAGCAAAAAAAAATGGGCTCAGATCTCTGCCTAACACCATGTAAAAAAGTAAGATCAAAATGGATGAAAGACCTCAAAATCAGACCAGAATCCATAAGGTACATTGAGGAAAAAGTTGGCAAAACCCTCCATGACATAGAAGCTAATGGTGTCTTCAAAGATGTCACACCACTGGCCAAGCAAGTGAAAACAGAGATAGACAAATGGTACTATCTTAAACTAAGAAGCTTCTGAACCTCAAAAAAACAGTGACTAAAATACAAAGACAGTCTACAGAATGGGAAAGGATATTCGCCAAATACACATCCGATAAGGGGTTAATGTCAAGGATATACAAATTACTGGTTGAATTCCACAAAAAGAAAACATTCAATCCCATCAAAAATGGGGAGATGAAATGAATAGAAACTTTCACAAAGAAGAAATCCGAATGTCTAAAAGGCACATGAGAAAATGCTCCACATCATTAATCATCAGGGAAATGCAGATCAAAACCACAATGAGATATCATTTCACACCACAAAGTCTGGCCCATATCCACAAGAACAAAAGCAACCGGTGCTGGCACGGACATGGCGAGAAAGGGACACTCCTTCACTGCTGGTGGGAATGCTGACTGGTTCAGCCCTTTTGGAAAACAGTATGGACGATCCTCAAAAAATTAGAAATTGAGCTCCCATATGACCCAGCAATACCACTCCTGGGACTATATCCCAGAGAGACAAAAATGTATAGTCGAAGTGACATCTGAAATTGTTTGTTCATTGCAGCACTCTTTACAATAGCCAGAATCTGGAATAAACCTGAATGCCCAGAACAGATGACTGGTTAAATAAACTTTGGTACATTTACACAATGGAGTACTATGTAGCTGTTAGAAAAGATGAAATCATGAAATTTACATACAAGTGGTACAACATGGAAAGTATCATGCTAAGCGAAATGAGTCAGAAAGAGAG